GAAATATGGCTGCCTGGTGTCCTCCTACATACCGTATTTTTCAGAGTATAAGACACACCCAGCTTTTCACCCCCTTTTTTGGGGGGGAAAGGTGTGTCTTATACTCTGAAAAATACGGTATGTAGGAGGACACCAGGCAGCCATATTTCTTTACCGAGTGAATAAAATAAAATCTGAATAAAATCGGATGAGGAAACTTTTTCAAAATACCTACGCATACTTACTTCTTCCCCAGATGACGAGCTACGTCTGCCTTTTTGAAACCATCCAAGTTGTACAGCCTTTTTGCAAGGCGTTTGGCAGCCTCTAGATCAGCATTATGTCCACTAGAAAGTGTGTCTGTGCTACCCAGGGCTAGTTGCTCTGTGCTGTCCATTTCAGAATCCGAGTCAGAGACCAGCTGACTGAGATGATGCTTGCTAGGACAAAAAACATAGAGGTTGTCACCTTAGCCATGTTACCTAGTTACTTTTTATCCAGTTTTCCATAAAATGTTGCTGTTGTGGCAGAGTCAGATGATGAGGAGGTTGGGGAGGAACTTGGGCCAGCTCTGGAGTCTGGGGAAGGCTCTGATGGATGCTTTGCTCTGCCTTTGGAGGCTGAGATAAGTGGAGAGGAAGAATAGCTGGGGCCTGTTCCAGATGCGCATATGCACAGAGCTGTTAGGAGAGGTGAACGACGAAGGACAAGGAGTCCACTTGGGAAGCAAGGCACACATGGACATTGAATGGCCCTTCCCTGGCTGGGGAATAAATAGAAGGAAAGGAGAGTGGTTGTTGTAGGAGACAACAGTTCATAGTTCTGAGGATTTTGGCTCATTGTGTTTCATGCCACAAAGACTGCTTGCCAGAACTTGCTTTGCAGCTTTTCATCTGGGAGCTCATAGCCTTGCAATCATCACAAGGAACTGATAAGGTCTGTACTGCAGTTAACTCCTTGAAGGACTAATGCCTGGACTTTTTGGTGGGTGAATGCCATTAATTCACATAAGGAAAATAAAGAGGGATTTTTCGTGACGAGGAGTCTGTTTCTTGTTTCTGCTAAGGCTGGGTCAGAACAGTTGTTTCTACAGGAGGAAGGATTATTGGTGTTTCCAAGTGAGGAACTGTAGTGGACTAGTTGTGTGATGTTGCAGGGACAGCATTGCAATGGATGGCACATTCTGGCTGGTGCTACCTTTCTCGCTAAGGGAGAAATTGTGAGATTGTGAGTTTGCTCATTTGCACTCCCAGCAGCTGCTCCTTATGACTGGACTAGACTGCAGGTATTGAGGGTTCTGTGCCTTGAACAGCTTGGAGTTGAGGGAATTCAATCAAACTCATAACGATAGTGTGGATACAAGATTCACACAAAGACTTTCTGAAACTATTGGATGCAATTAATTTACAGCTAAAGAGAGATTTTCTGAGAGGCAGCTTATGAGTCAATATTCTTTCTGGACTAAAAAGGTTTAAAGATTTTTTAAAAAGCTTTTGGCAAACAGCTTAACAAGGAGTGGATGTAAGAAAATTTAAAATGATTACAAAGAGAAGAGATCTTTGTTTAAAAGGTTAAAGAATGGTGAAAGTGCTTTTGAATAAATTGGAATTAAAATAGATAAATGAACCAGACTTTCATGGAAATGTTTTTTGTTTACTATTANCCTTCCCACCAAAGTGGTCCCTATTTTTCTACTTGCACTTTTTATGTGCTTTCAAACTGCTAGGTTGGCAAAAGCTGGGACAAATAACGGGAGCTCACTCGGTTACACGGTGCGAGGGATTCGAATCGTCAAACTGCTGACCTTCTGATCGACAAGAACAGTGTCTCAGCCACTGAGCCACCGCATCTCATGCTAATCAATATAGTTGCAAAACTGCATCATTTAGTGATGGCAATTCAAGTTTCAATTGCCATGTAAGTTGAGGACTGCCCATACTGTAGGCAGCACAAATAGATTAAGCAAAATCTGGTGAGCTGCTATGGCTAAAAGAAATACATGAAATCAGATAAAGTCTTACTAAATCAATGTAAATAAAAGTTAAACTTGAAAACTACTGCAGCTACTTTAATTTATCCCTGAAACTTTGTTAAACTCAATCTTTCTGAAAACTTCAGAGGTCCCTCCTTGGATACTTACCTAAGAGCTTGGTCCAGAGTCATTCCAGTGAATTCAAAGAACTTGAGATACTCCCCTGCTACTGTCTTACTGAAATCGTTACTGGAAATGAAAGAAATATCTTGTTTATAGAATTGCTACATGAGATGGATTAACAACTGAAGAATAGATCATGACAAACAGTAAAGGAGAAGAAAAGCGCCCAGATTTGTTATTTTTCAATTACACTTCCCCGTCCTGTGTTCTAATCTAACTAGACTGTAGCAACCATAGTATATTTGCACTTGTGGGAATATTGCTAAGGTAAAAGTTCTCCTCGCACATATGTGCTAGTCGTTCCCGACTCTAGGGGATGGTTCTCATCTCTGCTTCAAAGCTGAAGAGCCAGCGCTGTCCGAAGACGTCTCCGTGGTCATGTGGCCAGCATGACTGAACACCGAAGACATATGGAGCAGAGCACTGTTACCTTCCCACCAAAGGTGGTTCCTATCTTTCTACTTGCAATTTTTATGTGCTTTTCGAACTGCTAGGTTGGCAGAAACTGGGACAAGTAGCGGGAGCGCACTCCGTTACATGGCGCTAGGGATTTGAACTGCCAAAGTGCCGACCTTTCTGATCAACGAGCTAGGCATCTTAGCCACTGAGCCACCGCATCCCTATTGCTACCAAGCTAGAAAAGAAAAGAGGATAAGCCACCCTGTGTCCATAAGCTATACAGGCCATAGCAACAACATTACCAAGAATGTTTGTGAAACAAAACAAGAGCTTCCTCCATTGTTTCTATTATGAAAGTTGTGGCATACCTACTGGAGCCATAATCATTTTCTCTTAAGAGAGCTACCATATTTTTTGGATTATAAGATGCACCGGAATATAAGACACACCAAGATTTTGAAGAGGTAAATTTTAAAAAAAAGTTTTTGCACTCTGCAGGCCTCCCAAACCCTCTGCTCGCCTTTTTTTTTGGTGAAAAATAGCAATAGCAGTTAGACTTATATACCGCTTCATAGAGCTTTCAGCCCTCTCTAAGCGGTTTACAGAGTCAGCATATCGCCCCCACAATCTGG